TATGTCATGTAATTATCCCTAAATTGTCCTACATTAGACTTGGCGGTGACAGACTGGAACCAATCAAATACATGGGAATGAGGCTTGCCGTTGCCAAAACAAGAGAAGCGCTAGATCTAAACTTGGAGCACATCTTTTATCGTTTTTAGCTTGTCAAGTTTTATCATGGTGAGCTAGATCTCCGATTATCATGTATCTCATGAGTATTATATGTGGTTTGACTACGTTTTTGCTTATCAACAGGCTGCATCAGATGATCGGTTTGCGTTTTTGGCGGAATGGTACGACCCTAGAGCTGCATTAATGAGAAAATACCAACTCCTCTACTATCCCAGCGACTCGTCTGTAGAGATGGTAATGGCCAGTTTTTTGCATTAGTTTGATCATTTTGATGATTTTTTTAAAATCCTTCGTTATTTACAAAAACCTCCCTTGATGTCATTCTAGAGATTAAGCAGTTAACGTTATTTGAAGTACGTATAAACATGCATTCACAGAAGTATGAGTGAAGTCCTCAACGGCAAAACTTCACTGAACTCCTGTAAAAGCATATCATTCTTAAATGACCTTGACTTTATTCGAAAATGATATATATAAAAAAAAACTGAAAAAATATGACGCACATCTTCTTCACATATGGGATGGTATTATGGTGTATTTTGTATTTTTTTTTTACGTCAGGCCCCGGTTGTTCAAAATCCACTGGATAATTCTCTATCCAGTGGGTAGTACAATGGTTTACCTAATGCTTGTCGACTGGATAGTGATTTATCCAATGAATAGTGCTATCCAGCTTTTGAACAACTGGGGCCAGGTGTGTCAGATATTGGTTATGGTAATTTTCTTTTCTTGGAAAAAGCTTTTCTTAAGGTGCTTTTTTAGGTTTTAATGCTTCTTAGTAATGCTTTAAGAAAGATGTTTTCATCTTAAAGTGAAAAAGAAATTTGTTCTAGATAGAAAGTTTTAAGCCAGTGACCCACAATGTTGAACCTTCAGGAAATCACTGACTTATGGCTGCCGGCCATGGCTGACTTGTTGATGTTACTGCAAGCTCTGTTCAGACAGTTGCAACTTTTTAATCACTGAATGCAGACAGTGGATCCTCTTCAAAGTTAATGTTGAGGTTTTTCTCATTCAACAGGCTGTTTTCATATATTCATAACTCCGGGCCGTATAAGTGTTTCCCTTTTTTCAATAGTGGGGGGTGGGTCGGAGGGCCTTACAGCAGGTGTCCTTTTTCTTACTTTTCCAAATCCCCATTCCTTTTCGCCTACCCCTTCCCCTCCCCTTTCAACACCTGACACATAGGCTACATAAATTGCTGAAGTCTTTTTGATTTGAAAATAGATAATAATAATGTTCTTTTATTATTTCATTTCCTTAGTATAACTTCAAGAATATTCTCCTTTTTTTTAGGTGTTCATTAATACGTGACCTGTANTTCAGACAGTTGCAACTTTTTAATCACTGAATGCAGACAGTGGATCCTCTTCAAAGTTAATGTTGAGGTTTTTCTCATTCAACAGGCTGTTTTCATATATTCATAACTCCGGGCCGTATAAGTGTTTCCCTTTTTTCAATAGTGGGGGGTGGGTCGGAGGGCCTTACAGCAGGTGTCCTTTTTCTTACTTTTCCAAATCCCCATTCCTTTTCGCCTCCCCCTTCCCCTCCCCTTTCAACACCTGACACATAGGCTACATAAATTGCTGAAGTCTTTTTGATATAAAAATAGCTAATAATAATGTTCTTTGATATGTTCACTTCCTTAGTATGACATCAAGAATCGTCGCCTTTTTCTGAAGAGGTCAGTAATAGATGACCTTGAGCTTCACCATCTGTTCATTGGAGCTACTATTACTATTCACTCACGTCAGGTATTTACATCACATGCCTTGTTAACACACCTAGGTATTGATTCTTTTATCTTCTTAGAGCTATTATACTTAAATCTAGGCACATTGTAGTTCTTTATTTAGAACTACATGACAATGTTATTTACAAGTCGGTTTAATCTTTTACCTGTGGGGCTGTCACTAAGGACACAGGTTAAAGGTTTGTGTTCACTTGTTACTGTAAGCATAATCCCTGGAAACAAATGGAAAATATCTAATCAAAAGAACTGTTTAGCTTGAAACTACCAGTGGTAATTGCATATAATTAAATTACCCAGGCACATGAAGCAACTTGAGATCTTAGTGACAACCCTGATCTGACAGAAAACAAAAGTAGTTTCAGATCCTACTGGCTACCTCTAATGTAATAGACCATTTTCAAGTTACCTCAAACCTTTGACAGTTTCAAGGCGAGACTAAGTATGAAGCCATGAATATGAAAACAAATTTTATTCTCTTGCAAATAAAACTCATTTTTCCACAAGAAAGGTTTTGCACTAAACCTCGTTTTCAAAGTCATAGGTTTTGGACTCAGAAGTGGCCTATTCTGCAGTGGCCTCATTTTTTTCTTCCAGAGGACTTGTTTAATTGTTTCTTCCAATACTTGTCAATCTCCTGGCAATGCGCAGGCCAGGGGCATTTTATGACACTTTTCACCAAGTTGTTGAGGTCACCTGAAACCGCTTCAAATCCGATTAACTGATATTAAGACTAAGGTATATGAAGACTTAGAGTATTTTTATTTATTTATTATTTCTTGTGATTTCAGTTGTCAATAACAGACTATGCTGACCAACGTACATCAAATCTTTTGAAAAGCAAGAATGAGACGTAAGCTCAAAGTTTTATTGATACATGTCTTTCAAATTTTCCTTTACAAGATGGTAAACTAGAAGTCAATAAGTAATCGATTTGATACATAAGTAAATCACTCTATCACTTATAGCTGTATATTTTTAATTTACAGAACACTTGCTATGATAAAGCCTGATGCTGTCTCACAGATGGGTTAGTTACAGTTTATGTGATTAGTTCATTGGTTTGCTTGTCATGGTTTCGGTATATTATATGTCAGAACCAAGGAATGAAGTTTTTGAGCCACAAGATCTTACTTCTTAAAAATCCAAGCCCCCCAAGACTCTAAGAGCTGAAAATTTCTAGTGGAAGCCCACCAATATACTGCTTTGTCTTGTTTTACTGCTTTACTGCTGATTTAATCTACTAGCTCAGTTCAATGAGCTGTACACATGAACTTTGAAAAATGTGACTCCTGAAGAGCAATTAATTAATTAATTAATTAATTTAATTAATTAACTAGGGATCCACTGTAATAATTGGTTAGGCTGTAGTGGTCTCCCTGCCTAATAATTTTTATGTATTCATGTATAAAAATGGTATTCTAGTTAGGCGAAGCTTAATAAATAACTTAAAAAAACGACAAATCCGAGACCCTGAAACCTTTTGGCAAAAAAAAAAAAAATTGTCTAAAAATGAGACTTCGACACCCATAAAAACACTTCCAAGATTTCGAGATCAGGCCAAAGTTTTCCGAGACCCTCCTTTTCAAGGTACCATTCTATACCCATATTAGTAAATTACACTTAGAAATGAGGTTAAAATATACAATTTTTAAAGTGGCAGAAACATTAATTTTCTTATCTGTATTCTGTAGGAAGTATAATTGACATGATCCATCAAGAAGGCTTTCTTATCTGTAGAGCTAAGATGGTCAGATTGTCCAGGTGAGCTTAAAACCCCCCCAAAAAAACATTGCCAAGGATTTGAGAAAAGCAGTCTAAGTAAAAAGAAAGAAGTATAAAGAGTTGCCTGAGGTGCAGCTGAGAGCAACTCTAGCATCTTGGGTGCTCTCCAAACTTCCCAAGTGCTACATATCTCAAAATACGCACAGCTGAAGCGTGGACCATTATTGTTTTGTAAAATTACCAATGTGACCAATGCAGCAGTTAACTTAAAATTCTTTTGTATTGTAGGGGATTTTT